CACCCTGAGCGCCCAATCCTCCCAGCACAGCCCGTGGGGTTGGATCGGGGGCCATGGGACCATGAGGGGTGGCAGGGCTGGAGCCACGGGGCTCAGCTGGCTGCGGACACCCATTCCTGGGTCCCCAGCACCCCAGCTCCAGCCAGACCCTGTGATGGGTAACGGGAGGTGACACTGCTCGGCGTGAGTCAGTGATGAGCCAGACCAGCGTCCCCGCTGGCCACTGGCCCGCCTGAGTGGCGTGCATAGGCAGAGCTCGCCAGGAACGTCGCTCAGGCTCTCAGAAACACGGCACCCTGAGCCAGGCAGGCACCCTGCCACGTCTCGGACAGCCACGCACCAGTCTGAACATCAGGGACAGTGCTGGGACACACCAACCCGGACCCTGCACCCGCACCATCGCCAGCACCCCCGTGTCAGGGTGCAGCAGGGCCATCCCAACCCCACTCGCGCACCCCTGCCCGGCTGGCTCCCGAGCATCCCATCCCACACCAGCCTCCACGGATCGGTGTGGGTTACGTCAAGGTATGTTGGATTGCAAATTAGACGTCAGCCCGCTGCACGGTCCCGGCTCCATCTGCAGAAAATGAGTTGCTGGACTTGGAGAGTGTCCAGTTGTGCAGCTCGGCGTGCCTAACACCCAGGGCTGACAAGCCACTGAATCACTGCTCCCTGCGCTGCCAGGCCACATGAAGCCAAGATACATTTCTTTTTAATGATAAGTTTTTATTGTTTGAAGTTCAGTTAAACAGCCTCCCGGGCGTCCGCAGCCTCCTGCTTCCAGAACGGCCGAGCGGTTTTGGGGCTGAGCTGCGCCGGCAGGGATACGCCGAACACCCCACCGGTGGAACGAGTTGGATGGTCTCAGCTGTAAAGGGAAGTCCTTGAAAACCGTCTGTGGGGAAGGAGCTGGGCTGTCGGCCATGAGCATCACCCGGTAAATCCACACAACATCACCGCAGCCAAAGGCAGGATTTGCACCTGGCTGGGGGACAACACACACACACAGACACACACACACACAAACACGGGTACTGACTGCTCCAGCTGATGGCTGTGCTTCCCTCCCCACCCCACAGAGCCCTTCGGCACCGTTTGCCAGCCCAGCACCGCACCCCACTCTTCCCAAAACGGGCTGTGTGTTCTGGAGAGAAGCCGCTTAGAGCCCTGGCCCCCAGCACCTGCCACCCACCACCCCTGTGCCTGGTCTGCCACCGCAGGGAGGCAGCCCCCACCCCAGCGAAGCTGCTGGAGGGTCCCAACTGGGGCTGAGCCCCAGGGACAGAGCCCCAGGGGAGTTCGGAGCAACCCCCAGCCCTGTTGTACCACCTGCCCAGGGCACAGCTCCACACTGCAGGAGGGGGAGTGTGCAGAGGGGCTGTGGGACCACCCCCCCACCCACCCCCCAGCAGTTCTCCCAGGGGCGAGAGAACCCAGCCTCCCCCCAGCCGGATTAACGCAGGGCTGAGCCATCGCCGCTCTCACGATGCTCCTCTGAACCTCTTAGCAACGCTCCTGCCCGCAGGTCAGACAACCAGCAAATAAAAGATTTAAGTGAGGTGCCGCAAAGGTACGGTAAAGAAAACCACATCCACGGCTGGAGAGGTGGCGGTAAATCAGGCCAGGGAGGGACTCCTGCGCGGGAGCTGGCAGCACACAGGGCCAGCACCGCTGCGTTGGGCTGAGAATGATGGGGTTTGGGCAAGCGATGCTCCAGTGGGCATTGATGTGACCCTATGTGCTGGGGGGCCTGGCCACTGCCTCACCCCAGCCAGCACCAGCTTTCCACCACGAACTGGGTTTTGCTAAGCGCCCCCCAGCACTTTGGCTACCCTTGGGCACAAAGGTTGGGGGGGGGGAGCGATGGCAATGCCCCCCCCCCCCCCCTCTGCCCCGCACCCGCCCCACCCCTCCCCCCTCCT